AATAAATAAATAAATAAATATTTTTTACAATTTAAAAATTATTGCATTAATAAATTCTACAAAATGGCAGATACGTTGTACCCTGGAGTGCCATTTCCTATTTACATTCTTCTGTGCAAATTCCAATATGCTAGAAGTGAATTATGCCAGAATAAGATAAAGGTTAGGTGGTATTAGCCTTTTACTTCTCAGAAGTGATTCTAAATCTAGGACTTTAAAAAAATCCACAAAATAAATAGTGTTGCATTAAAAACAATTCCTCTTTGTACCCAGTTAGGATACTCCAAAATAATGAATTAAAATGCAAGTTCAAGTAAAAAATGGAGTTTTAAAGACATAATCTAACTCTAAACATTCACACACATTACTATAATTACTAAAGATCACAGCAAACAATAGAAATGATATTTCCCTAAAGAATGATTGAGGTAGCAGAATATAGACTGTACAGTAGTAATGAAACAAGCAGAGCACATATTTCTGCCTGAGGTATCCACAGAGGTAAACTGTTGCCTAACCTGATGAATCAAGCTTATAATTTATTATTATCCTTTGAGCCAGAGTTCCGGGTTTCATGATATGCAGGATGTACATACTTCACAAGTCCATGAAGAGGCCTCTGCTAATAATTTCCATGTGTTGTAGCGCTGAGCTCCAGTTGGTCAGCCAGCATCACATCCTGTATTTCCATAGAGGCAGGCAGAATGTTCCTATGTACAGCAGAGGATGTGCTATCCTGCAAGTTTAGCTCTATATATTGAGGTCATTGTAAGTATTTTGTCTTCATACTGTGTCAAACAGAAAAATGGTTGGGAGTGTTGAAATAGAGTGAGTAATCAATACAAATGAATCCCCCCTTTAAACAATCATGATTTTTTTTACCTTCTAAAAGGAGATTATTTAATCCAATGATGGTAGCTGCAAAGTCTACCTGTTCCACGAAGTCTGAAGTAATAATGTTAACTCCCATGATTCCTGGTTTCTGTAACTTCACCCAGTTCAGAATAAAAGGAAGATTTCTATGAGAAATAAAGGAAAATATATGAGACATATCTTATGCTATAGAGAATAATATATATTATCTACATATATTGTGTATTATATCATAACAGAAGAGAATATTTGTATCTCAGGGTTGAACTGGGGAGTTCTTGGAGCTCTCTGAGCTAGGTTGTGCTAGCACTGAAAATGTTACCTAGTTGGGTAATGAAATGTCTGCAAGAAAATAATCAAGGTCAGAAGCACCAAATACTCCAGTCCAAACTATGTCTATATGACAATTGACAATACTTCTTGGAAATAAGAAAATTTGTACTACATATTATACTTTATTATTTTAAAAAATATCAGCAACAGCATTCCACATTTGAAGCCATCATATATTATTATAGGTGAAGAATGGGGAAAGAAATTAACAAATGCATCACAACACCATACATAAGTAGGCTTTTAATGGCACATAGTAAATAAACAATACTTACATTTCTAAAGTTATGTATACGTTCAGAAAATAGCTGAACATTAAAGGCAGACTACATTGTTTATCAACATTTTTGTGCATTGTTTTTATATTGTACCTAAAATTCTAAAATTGACTTTTTAATGTTGATATGTCACCTAATATCTACATCTTCCAAATAACATTTAAACATTCAAAATAAATACTGTGAACCTGTGATCTATTCACACACTATGCCAAGTAATAGTTTAACAGCTGGTTAAATTATTTACTAATAGGCTAGACTACATTAGTGAGAGATAAAGGTGCTAGGCAAACATCTAAGCAGGTGGTGTAATTTAAATAAGCTGTTTTCCTGCCTTTTTTTTTTTAAGTTATTATTTTAGTCCTTCCCTACAATAAAGTGAGAAATGATGCTATAACATCATGAACACTGTAAGTGAATTTTTGCTTTGAAGAGTTTGGATTTGAGAAGCAAGCCACTAGAGATACAATTGATATGTGAAGAATGACAAGCCTTTTTAAATTCACTCTTTTATCCAGAAACCTCTTTCAAGCAAACTAAACATTGCCTAGTTCATTATGTATCTATGCAGCTTGCGTATATAGTCATATTTTATGTCAGCTATTCACCCGAGAGTAGGAATGAGATAATACAAGCAAAATAAATATTTCATTGATTTGCCTACTTTTTGCTGATTTAATATTAATCTGTATCACACAATTTTGAATATTATCCATAGTTGTATTGTTTTTGCTATTAAAATAAAGATACAACACATTTGGTAATTAGATAAGAAAAATTTTAGCACCATCTAGTGCCTTATAACTGTATAACAATTATTTTTCAAAAATAGAAATTTGTAGAAATTGATCTTTAACTCTGAGAAAGATGAAGATAGGTTTGTTTGAGCGTCCTGTGTATTGCCACTGCTAAGACTATTTTTCTGTCCACTGAAGTTATAGTAAGTTACTTGCTATATTACTATAATTGACACATCTAGTACAATAAGTTAAAAGCAATGAGAAATTAAAGTGTTAATAGATTAAATTAAGCACTGTAATTGAAGAAAAAACAGAACCTTGTTACCATTAATTTGACAATATATCTTCAGAATAAAAGTAAAGATTATTATTTATTTTAGCTTTATATATAATAATCTCGCTTCAATAGTGGCTTTTGATGATTCATACATCCATTAGCACAGAAGTTCTTCATTACTTATCAGTCATGCTGTTGATCCAATAGGAATTGAATATCTGGAAGGCACCAATTGCTTATGAACCAGTACTGACTAAGTCTATATATCTTGCTATATCAAAACCAAACAATGTTATAGTTAGTAATAACTGTTGTTGGCTTGAACAGTGAAGCAATCATATTTGAATTCTAACGAAGTTGACATGAAACTATTTGAAATTACTTATTTTATAGAAATAATTAGAGATATAATTATTCTAACAGAGATAAGATAGGACAGTGGTGGCTAACCTTTTTGGGCTCCTATGCCAAAAATTGTGCACTTGCTTGCACACTCAGCACCCAGAAGGCAAGGCGCGTCCCCCCACACATGTGTGCTACAATCCCACCCACCCACCTCCTGCTGCCCCCTTACCTGCACTGCAACTCACAGCTGATTTTCAGCCGGTTTGAGGCCTTTTTCAGCCTTCCAAAGGCTTGAGGAAGGCTTCTTCAGGCTTCTACAAGCTTTGTAGGCCAAAATCTAGCCCCATTTTGTCACTTCTGGTATTTTCGGAAAAACAGGAAGTGACGAAATGGGGCTAGATTTCGGCCTACAAAGCTTGTAGAAGCCTGAAGAAGCCTTCCTCAAGCCTTTGGGAGGCCGAAAAAGGCCTCAAACCAGCCAAAAATCAGCTGTGAGGCGTGCACATGTGCAATGAGGTAAGTTTGCTTGCAGCTTGTGTGCATAGGTTCGCGTGCCATAGGTTCGCCATCACGGACGTAGGATGTGCAAAAAAAGAGATATGAAGTGGGCAATGAGAGTTATTTGGAAATCATTCAGAACAAACCAAGAGAGTTTTGAACTGCTCTAAAAAATATCTGAGGCCATCTGAATTGTGATTTCAAGGAACATTTTCTAGTTTTAAAAATGACATATTTTTCATCAAGTTTCCATTTAAGGATAATACTCATGCAAGGGGAAAGCTCCTAACGAGGAATACATTTTCATTTTTACATCCACCACTATTTTTCTTGAGGGGTACAGAAGATGATTCTGTTTATTTTCTTTTTTGCTCTCACTGTATTTTGTGGTTGTATATTTGTGCAAAAGCTGCAGTCCAATTTACAGCTTCCAGGAATACTTACATTCAAAGATGTCTTTTGGGGGGCTGTTCAACTAACTCCACAATTATCTTAAAAAGTGTCACTAAGAGGTAAATTATATGTAACGTTAAATCATCACTGAAAACATGCAGATTTAACACTGTCACTTTTACTTTGAATGAAGAAAAGACCACTGATGGGAGCAATTATTAAATTTAAATTTCTTATTTTTCCTAGTCTGATCTTCCATCCCACTGAGCTAGATGGATTGAATGATTAGACCAAAATGGTAAATGAACAAGCAGACAAAGGGGCTTTTCCTAGAGTGAGTCCTCTTTTGCTCATTGGTTCTTGCTTAAGTATCCATAAGGAATAAATAAGATTCACCTTTTTTTGTTTACTAGTGGAGCCCAATATCTCTTCAAGCAGGGAGCATAGGGGAATGGAAGAATAGGAAGTGTATTTTTCTCTGAACTATTTTCTATGCTGCTCCATAGAAAGAAATGGCCAACAAGGAAATGGATTTTATCACTAAATAGCACAATGGGTTCAGGGGTGCCAACATCGTTGAGCAAAAAACTCTCATGCCTAAGGATGATATATGGCTTGTCTTACATGTCTGTTCATAAGAGACAAAACTTAGAAAGAGCTGGAAACTTCACAGCTGTGCCAGTTTCCTTCTCTTTCCTCATTTCCAGCCTTTGCTGAATAGTAGAGGAAAGAATTGTTCTCTACCTCTGAAATCTTTTCTCACTCAAGTGTTCATTTCTTCTTCAAGACAAGACTGGTGATAGCTTTAAAACTATCTTTTTGAAATGTCTCTCGTGTGTCAGGTCAATTCTATTTGAGCCAGAAAGAAGCAGGAAAGACAGAACCTTATTTTAACCCAGAAGATAATGTCTGCTTATATTTTATAGAAGATCATGTATGAGTTCCAGGTAACCAGAGAACATTATCTTTGAATGGAAAGAACTGGTTTTGCCACCTCTTATTGCCTTCCGTTCATAGTGAAACACAGAAATAAAAAATGTTTCAGTCAAAAATTTTTTCCTAATCTAAAAAGTTATTACTGTATATTTCATTCATTTAATGAGTCGCTATGATGTATGTATGCACATTTCTATAAAATCTAAACAGGATTTTCATCACATCATCAATTTATTTCTAAAGGATCCTAACACAAAATCTGCTTAATGTATTCTTCTGAAACTTCAGAATGATACTTTTTCTCTGTTTTTGTTTGTTTGTTTCTTTTAATTGGTTCTAATGGAACAGGAAAACAGGTGGCATATTCTCTCTGCCCAACCCCAATTTACAAGTATCTCCAGAGGAATAGTTCCTAATCTTCTTCTTCTTAACTTCTTTTACCACTTCAGGGGGCGAGGGAGATGCAGAGTTTTGGTTCTTGCTCTTCTGGAGGTCTCAACCATTGTTATTTGACTCTGTTGTAGTCTGTCTTTGATGTTGTTTCTTCATCTTCTTCTGAGTCTACCTCATGTTTGGCCTTCTCCTTTTGTATATGCCTTGTACGGCATGGAGTCCCAAGACATGCTCTCCAGGTGAGCAAAGCATTGTCTTTTCTGTTTTTCTATGTAGTTTAAGATTGATTCTATGCCAATTCTTCCTCTTATGATCTCATTTCTGATTTTATCTTTTCTGGTCACTTCAGCAGCTTTCCTCAAACATCTCATTTCCGTGGTAACTAACTTTCGTTTATCAGTTCCCAAAGACTCTTTACAATAATCTCCCAGGAATCAAAGGATTGTGCCCTTAATGACTTTACAAGGTGGGATGGTATATTTAGTTAATTATCAATAGTTGGACAGAAAACTTAAGCAGATACTTACCTGTGAACAAGAGTGTTTTTCAGGCCACGGCTGAGATGCCGTGCAAAAGTTTTGACTCTTGGTGTGAGAATAGCTTGGGAAACATGGAAAGTTCCATGCTTTGCTCGCTCTTTCAGGGTAGTCTCTAAAAACTGCAGCAGTTTATGTACGTTAGTTGTGTTTGCCCAGGGAGCTGGCATTTTATTCCCTGCCCATAGAACGGGGTATATTTCACATATAGAATGATGGTAGAAAACAAGAACCTGGAAAAATGGAGGTAAAAATAAAGCAACTGAAATCGTTTCCTGGGTGAAATTCATTTATATTCATATCACTCTCTTAACAACAGGCAAAGAATACAACAGTTGAAAAGATCATTGTCTGTGAGATAGCACCAAGATATTAAAAGTAAAATCTGGCCAATGTCGGGTCATACCTTACTAGATAAACTCATAACTTGTTGCTACCACTTTCATCTAATGAACGTTCCAAAATTGTGGAAACAATTTGAAGGGCTTTCAACATTTAATAAAACTTGCTATATAATCCTATTATATTTGCAACAACAAAGGTGATACTGAATTGGATTGCATGAGTTGCCACTTCATTCCATTTTAGTCCTGGAATAATTAGTCGTCACTATCTGCCTTCAAATTCTTAATCTGTTCTCGAACAGAATTAGTATCATCATATATTAAAAGAAATGAAAAGAAAGAATATCACCCATGTTGAGCTTTCACACAATAAGGTTACAATAAGGATCTCATTATTTGTTCTACTTGTTGCCATTATATTTTACCAACTCTCCTTTTGGATCCACAAGGGGAAAAACAATAACATCTCCTATGCCATGCTGCATTGTGAAAGTTTAATTTATTTATAGATTTCCCACATTTGGGTATCCTTTTCTTGTTTCTCTGGAACATAAAGGCAGTCCCATAATAAGTGGGATATTGTTGAATTATCACCCATAAATTATGAATTAATGCATAACATTAATTTGGAAGCAAGTCCCTCAACATTCTAACTTTTGAGGTTTGCCAGATTCACCATCTTGTATAAATCTGGTTCTGATGAATGTTTTTATAATATTGGTTTTATTTGTGTTGTGAGTTGTTCAAAGTCATTTGTAGTTAAGCAGCATCAAACTGAATAAATAAACTACTGCTAGCATCTATATTCAAATACTGCCACCTGGTGGACAGCTTTGGCACCTGCTGCTGTTTAATTTATTTTTGAGAGAGAGCTGAACAAAGCTATTCACATGGCTAAAGTTGAAAAAGAAATGGCATAGATGACCGAATCTCTGGAGAACCGTATTTCTTCAGAATATATTAATATAGGAGGAAGAATAAGGATAGCTGCCTCACAGAACTGAAATAATTGGAGAAGTTCAAACTTTGATAATCCAGGAGGAACAGAAAGTATGACAGAATTGGGAAAGGCACATAGTTCATAGGAAAGACAATAATGTGGTAATGTAGCTTTTATGAAATATGGAAAAACCAGGAAGGAAAATGGATTAAATTAAATGGGACAGAACTGATTGCAGAGGTAGATAAGCAATTATTAAAAAGCGGACTTTGTTTAGCTAGCATGTACAGAATTAGGAGGATGGCCTTGAGGGAAATAGACAAGAATTATTATATAAATGGAGGGCATTCTTTAAGGCCTGGGAAACATGACAGTATACAGGAGAGATTCAAGCAAGCTCCTCCTTGGTTCTCATTGGGATTTAGGGATGGGGACTGGGCAAAGCATAATCAAGCTTGTATGATTTTGTTATTATAAGTTATTTCAACAACATGAGCTTCTTTCAGTACAGGTAGTTCTTAACTTGCAGCAGTTCATTTAGTGATCCTTCAAAGTTTCAATGGCAGAAAAAAATGTGACTTATGACCATTTTTACACTTACAACGATTGCAGCGTCCCAGGGTCACATGATCAAAATTCAGATGGCTGGTTTACATTTATGACGGCTGCAGTCTCCCAGGGTCACTTTTTGAATCCTGGGTCACCTTTTGAGACCTTCTGACAAGCAAATTCAATGGGGAAGCCAGTTTCACTTAGTAACCATGCTACTAACTTAACAACTGCAGTGATTCACTTAACACCTATGGCAAGAAAAGTCATAAAATGGGGCAAAATTCACTTAACAACTGTCTCATCTAGCAACAGAAAATTTGGGCTCAATTGTGGTCTTGTGGTCATAAATTGAGGACTATCTGTAGACTTTTTTTTTAATCTAGTCTACCTCGTAAGGTTGACATAGAAAAGAATCTTCTATTAGCTTTACCACAAGAGATATCAATTTTGATTCAAGGCTACAGAATTTAAATAAACATTAGAGGGACAGATTCAAGGTAATTTCTATTCAGTTAAACATTCACCTGAAAAGGAGTTCAGCTGCACTAGAAAGAGAAGAACTCACAGGTATTATAGAATGGAAGAAGTGTTACAGAGAGATTCTGTGCTAAGATGCAAGTAAGATAACCCAGGGAGTTATAGATGTTTGAAAACTACTATCTGCTTCAATTTCAGATTTCCTTCTTCAAACATATCCCATAACCTGTAACGATGCTTTTCCAAAGGCCATCTAATACAGTGCGCCATCTAATACAGTGCGGGGATTCAAAATTGTTTTATCACCGGTTTGGTGGGCGTGGCTTGGTGGGCATGCTTTGCCTAACGCCCGTGTGCAGCTTTCCCACACCACTGAGACCTGCAGTGACAATCAGTTGAGAGGATAAAGAAGAGAAACGTGCAGAGGCAAGTGGAAGGGCCGGTTCTGCGCTTTTTCTCTTCTTTCTCCTCTCAGCTGATTGTGGAGGCATTTTTTCCTCTTCTCAGCTGATCATGGGACGATTTTTTTTATTACCGGCTCGGCTGAACCGGTGCGAACCAGCAGCATTCCACCACTGATCTAATAGTAGTTCAAAGTATAAAAAGGTAGATTCTGATCCCATTACATAAAATAAAAAAAAAATCTATACCTGCTGTTGCTTTTCCCAAAGACTTTGCAGTGTTACATTTTCTACGCATTCTTTTGTGCAGAGTTTTGATCCAAATATTTCTTCAATCTTGCTGATAAGGTACATATGATGATTCATATCCATAGCATAGAAATGATTGAAATCCAGGAAAATTACTTCTTTAGGATGATGGGTTAAGAAGTTGTTTATCTCCACAAGTCCATCACATACTGTGGTCCCAAACAAGCCATGTATAAAGTAGATTTCCTGTCCTGCTTCACCTGGTTTGGAAGATACACGGAGGTCAAAATACCGTATTCCACTATCAAGCTGCTCCTTGAAGGTCAGATTTTGTGTTATTGACCATTTCTTCATTAGCTTTTTTACCAAAGGAATTTTAGCTATCCGCCGAATTGCTATGACTTGATCTGGTCCCACAGGAGATTTCTCATCCACCCAGTAGCTGAAGGAATCATGTGAACCTATATGAGGGGGGGGGGGGGGGGGGAAGAAAGGCAATATATTACTCTTGCAAATCTTCCTTTTTCAGGGACTCTGTTCAACTAAAGTGTGTGTGTTTGTGTGTGTGTGTGTGTTCTTGATCAGTGCATATTTAATTTCTGGAAAAATATTGGAGATCACCTTACTCTGCCAAGATCAAATAAAGAAAACCTAGCTCAAAAATACAGCAAACAGAACCATGTAGCACTCCTGTACATTTGGAGACTGAATTTAAATAACTGAACTAGCTTATTACAAATCCTGAATCTGCCTGGATACTCATCTCTGAACAAGTTGGATATCGAGGGGCTATATTTGAAGAATACCAGCAGTAGTTAGAAACATTACATACATACATTTCACACACATACACACACCACGCATGCACATACACACACACAAAATTTTAAAAATCCTTGCCTTTCCAAATGGGATCCTAATTTTATATTATTCCAGTGTGAGGTGACAATAAGATGGAACAAATATCAGAGCAAAGAGGCCAAATAGTGGAATATACTGATATTTTCATTAAACTAAGGGACAAAGCATGGGTAGCTCATAAATACTACATATATATAATGCATATGTGCTAAAAATATGTACTAATGGATATGCAGTAATGCATACAAGCTAAAAAATAAAATGGAGTTCCGTTACTAGATATAATGATTCCATCCAATCTTACTGTAAATCAAATTTCAGATGTACTTAAAAATGATCTCATAAGAGATCTATGAAGTCTACTCTTTGCACCTTTTAGAACAGATCTCAGGTAAGCTTCTTATCTCCTTCCACAAATTATAACTCTTTTGGCATGTGTTTCTTGTATAGGCGGTCCTTGACTTACAACCATTAGTTTAGTGACCATTCAAAGTTAACAATGGCACTGTAAAAAGTGTCCTATGACCATTTTCCACATTAACCATTGTTACAGCATCGCCATGATTATGTGATCAAAATTTGGACGCTTGGCAACTGATTCATATTTATGATGGTTCCAATGTCCTGGGGTCATGTGATCACCTCTTGCAACCTTCTGACAAGCAAAGTCAATGGAGAAGCCAGATTCACTCAACAACCATGTTACTAATTTAAAATAGGGCAAAATTCACTTAACCATTATCTTGCTTAACAATAAATTTTTTGGGCTCGGTTGGACTACTCATACTGAATATTTTGAGCCTCCTTTTACAAAGTAGTTTATTATTACAATGTATACTGCATCACCACAATTTCACAGATTAACAGAGTTGGAAGGGACCGTGTAGGTCTTCTAGTCCAATCCCCCTACCCAAGCAGGAGACCCTACACCAGTGATGGCTAACTTTTTTGTTGTCGCGTGCCAAAAGTATGTGCGTGCCCGTGCCCATACACATACCTGCACCCATAATGCAATGTGTGCATGACTCCCCCACCCACTGTGCATGCACATGCATCTCCCCACATGCGCACCTTGCACCTCTACACATGTATGTGCAACCCACCTGTGCACCCCACCCCCTGCGCATGCGCACGCATCTCCCATATGCACATCTTCCCCTGTGCATGCATGGCAGGTACCCAACAATCAGCTGGCTCGCAGGGGGCATGTGTGCATGCTCAGTGGATCTATTCCGGCCGATGGGTCGCGTGCCAGCAGAAATGGCTTTGTGTGCCACTTCCGGCACACGTGCCATAGGTTCACCATCACGGCTCTGCACCATTTCTCACAAATGGCAGTTCAATCTCTTCTTGAAAGCTTCCAGTGATGAAGCTCCCACAACTTCTGAAGGCAAGCTGTTCCATTGGTTGATTGCTCTCACTGTCAGAGAAGTTCTTATTTCTAGGTTGAATCTCTCCTTGATCAGTTTCCATTCACTATTCCTTGTCTAGCCTTCAGGTACTTTGGAAAATAGCATGACTCTGTGGCAGCTCCTCAAATGTCATGGTGTCTTATTATTATATTCAAGTACACAGTATGTAGATTGTTTAATTTGCCAGGTATACAAAAAAAACTAACAGAAATGCAATTTTATAGACTGCATTCAGGGCAAACCTTTAAATCCTAGCAATTACCTAATTATGGTTTAATTCATTAAAATAATATGATAAATATAATTAAATATCCGATACCAAGCAATATCGAAGTATGATAATTAATTTGAAATTTTCTACTTCAATAATTGGTTACTTCTGTGCAAAACAACAACAAAAACTGGAAGAAGATAGACTTGTGCTGCAAGACTATTGGGTAGCATATACATTTAAATAATAATAATGCTTGGGAAGGATTTAATAGATGGCTATTAAATAGATGGCTATTTAATTAAGATGCCAAATCCAGTCTGAATATCTGGCTGACTGTAGTCACCTTGTGGAAGGACAATGTACCTCGATTCTACCCCACTAACCTTTGGTAGATTTTTTAATATTTCTACAAGCTTCTGAATGGGGGCCATCTTATATCAACATCATTTACCAGGATTTTCAAAAGGCATTTGACAACATTCCTCCTCAAAAGTTCTTAAGATCAAAGGATCAATTATAAGAGGATTGGTTCTTTGACTGGTTTGCTGACAACTAAAATCATAAAGCAAGGAAAAGAAATAAACGGCCCATTTTCTCAAGGGAAAGAAGAACTGAAGTCTGTCAAGGAATTGTGTTGATGTCGAATGTTCTCAAAACACGTACATAAAATTAAACAAATGACTCAATTTCTAAGCTGTGGAAGCAGCTTACTGGTATCTTTTGAACAACAAAAATGGACATATGAAGGTCCCAAGAAGGATATTTGTGAACCACTGGAGGGTGCAGGTTGGAAGCCCTTTTCAAAAACCTCCTGACTGAAGTATGATGGGATAAGGAAGGAAGCGAACCCCATGAAAGGACTGAGGAGAGGGCCGCAACCTGCCTGCGTAAGGTGTTGGGGGCCAAACCTTTCTCCAGACCATGCTGAAGGAAGCTAAGAACTTCTGCCAACTGGGCTGAAGCAGGAGAAAGACCCTCCCTGAGGCACCATCGGGAAAAAGCCTTCCAGATGGCATCATAGATGCGTCTTGTAGAAGGTTTGCGAGATGCCAGGATAGTGAGGATGACCCTTTCTGGAAGATCAGCCTCCTCTAGCCGCTGCCGCTCAAGTGTCACACGGTCAGCTTGAACCACTGGGGCTCTGGGTGGAGCAGGGCCCCCTGGTGAAGGGAGATTAGATGGGCTGAGATCCTCCAAGGAGAAGCCACCAATAGGTTGACCAGGTCTGCAAACCAGGGCCTCCTTGGCCAATAGGGTGCCAGGAGGAGGAGCTCCGCATGTTCCTCCAACATCTTCCGAATTACTGCCGGAATGATGAGAAGCGGTGGAAAGGCATAAAGGAGACCCTTGGGCCATCTGCACCAAAGAGCATTGGTCCCCTCCGCTCCCTGGCAAGGAAACCTGGTGAAGAATCTGGTGACTTGGGCGTTTTGAGGAGTGGAGAAGAGATCCACCTGCAGTCCGAATCTGAGGGAAAGATCCCTGAATAAGAGACAGAGGAATGGACCATTCTGCCTGGTCGACTAGGCTCCTGCTGAGCCAGTCGGCCTGGGAGTTGTCGACCCCGGAGATGTGGTCCACCGAGATCAACAACAGGTGTTTCTCTGCCCATAACCCCAACCGTAGAGCCTCTCTTGTGAGGGCTTTGGACCTCATCCCCCCTTGCTGGTTGACATGAGCCTTTGCGGCCATGTTGTCTATAAGGACTAGAACATGAGAGCCATTCACTGATTGCCTGAAATGCTTGAGAGCCAAAAAATGGCTCTGAGCTCTACCCAATTTATGGGAAGGGTCTGCTCTGATCTGGACCAAACGCCCTGAGCTATCTGGCCCTGCATATGGGAACCCCAACCCAGGAGGCTGGCATCGGTGGTAATCACTAGCTTGTCTGGGTCCCTGAACAGGAGTCCCCTCCAGATTGACGGGGAATGCCACCAATTGAGAGATCTCCGGATTTGTGGAGGGCGTGGGACCTTGATGGAGGAGTGGCTGGTTCCTGCTCGTTGGTAGGGAAGCAGGAACCATTGGAGGGGTCGGGAGTGGAGCTGAGCCCACAGAACAATGCCAATACAGGAGACCATCTTCCCCAGAAGTTTGGACAGCAGCGACAGGGGGACAAGTTGATGTTGCTGGATCTGGCTGATGATGTCTGCAAGGCTCTTAGCACGAGCTGGGGACAGGAAGACCTGGCATGACATGGTATCGATGACTGCTCCCAAATGTTGCAATTTGGTTGTGGGAGAGAGCTGGCTCTTTTTGGTGTTGATGGAAAATCCATGGCTCTGGAGACACGACAGGGTAATTTGCAGATCCCAATGGGCCGCATGGATGGAAGAGGATAGAATCAAAATGTCGTCCAAGTTGCATTGGATCCTCACTGGAATAGAATGCAGAGATGCCATCAATGCTGCCAGAACCTTTGTGAAGACCCTTGGAGCCGATGAGAGGCCGAAGGGAAGTGCTCGATACTGGTAATAGGTATTCTGATAACAGAAACGGAGAAACTGGCGATGATGAGGCCAAATTGGGATGTGGAGGTAAGCCTCAGTGAGATCAATGGAACAGAGGAGGTCACCCTCCCGAACGGTCTCTAAAATAGAATGCAGAGTGCATTTTAAATTGCCTGTATTTTACAAATTGGTTGAGAAATTTTAGATCAAGGATGGCTCGCCACGCCCCTGAGGCTTTGGCAACGATGAAAAGGCAAGAGTAAAGCCCACGTCCCCATTGAGGGGGGGAACAGGTTGAATAGCCCTGATTTCAAGAAGGTGCTGAATGGCCTGATTCATTAAGGCTTGCCTGGAAATGTCCCAAGAAACAGGACAGATCAAAAAAATTTTGGGGGGTGGCGTTAGGAAGTCCAATTGTAACCCTGACCTAATAGTGTTGAGCACCCAGGCGTCCGTCATTGACTCCTCCCATTTGGAGGCAAAGAAGGCTAGGCAACCTCAGATGGATGGGGAGAACGAGGGAT